ATCAATAATGACAATCTTCTACAGGTGTATCATGAGCGGATGGGGCATCAAAACACGAAACATGTGAAAGCGACCATTGAGAGAGAGCTGGGAATAAAACTAACTGGGGATAAAGAGTTATGTGAAGGCTGTGTCTATGGAAAGTCACAGGTTAAAATTTGGCACTAGAGAACGAGCCACAACACCTGGGGAACGAATTCATACGGACGTGTGTGGACCTTTCCAGTCTTCAATGTCAGGCTACAAGTACTATGTTTTGTTTAAAGATGACTATTCTAGGTATCGACATGTTCACTTCATGAAGGAGAAATCGGAAGTTTCTGAAAAACTTAAACTATTTCTGGCAGCAGCTAAAACTACTGGACATGTAGTTAAAGAAATGTTGAGTGACAATGGCGGAGAGTTTGATAACGGCGTAGTTAAGAGTATGTTGCAGAACAGAGGAATCAAGCACACCCTGACGATGCCCTACACACCGGAGCAGAACGGTTGCAGTGAGAGGGAAAATCGAACAATCGTGGAAACAGCTCGTGCTATGATGCACAGCCATGAGTCCCTTCCACAAGGCTTATGGGCAGAACTGATCAACTGTGCTGCTTACATCCTCAATCGCACCGGCCCTTCTTCAGAAGCTGACAAAACCCCATACGAACTATGGCTTGGAAAAAGACCTAGTATCAAGCATCTAAGGATAATCGGAAGTGTCTGTTATCCGCATGTCCCAAAACAAAAGAGGAAAAAGATGCAGAAGAAAGCACAGAAAGGAATACTTGTTGGGTACGATGAATGTGGCTATCGTATCTGGGTCAATGAAACTAACACTGGTGAGATCGAGAGATGTCATTTTCATCGAAGAGCCCTTATTAGAGAAAAGAATACCGAATCCCTTTGCCAAGTGAAATAAGTCAAGAAAACGACTGCCGAGGCTTAGAATACGACGTTGAAGATAACGTGGGGCAAGAACTGGAAGAAAATGAAGACGAGGAGGAAGCTGACCTACCTGAGAGATCGAACAGTTATGATCTACGAAACAGATCAGAAATCAATGTTCCGAAGAGGTTCAACGACTACATCATGACTGCAGTTACTAATGTTCAAGAACTGAATGAGCCTGAGTCATACAAGGAGGCAATACAAAGTGAAAAAGCTTCCTACTGGAAAGAAGCTATGGAAAGTGAAATGAAGTCGCACAAGGAAAACCAAACTTGGACCCTGGAGAAACTTCCTGCAGGAAAGAAATGTATAACATGCAAGTGGTTATACAAAGTAAAAACTAGGGATGGTCAAGTCTCGAAATTTCGGGAAATTTTCGGGAAATTTTAAATCTCGTTACACGAGACAAGATTTCTTTTTGGCCGAGATTTGTATCAAGACGAGAATAAAAAACAAAAACAAAACGCCTGCAGAAAGTCAATGCAATACCCGCAATACAGGAGCGTGTTGTAGTTGCGTTTCCTTTGCAAAGGCGTTCTTATTTAATTAATTCTTCAAAAATGTAAATATTACTTTAATTATTTTAATAACATTTGAGAAGTTTTGTTAAGTATTAGCAGTGTGAGGAATGTTTTATTACTATAAAAAAGTCAAAACAAGTAACTATTTTATAAAAATTAATATTTTATTTTATTATTTATTTTATTTTAGGATAAGTTGAACTCTATCCAAACTGATATCACTATGTTTCCTAATCGTAGGCATTTTTAATAATTTAGGTGTGATTAATAAAAAAATGTTATGCTGATGTTTTTTAATAAAAGATAGTAAATATCCTTGCCTATTATCATTATTTTTGTATTTAAACAGTCATCTAACAATGTTACAAAATCAGGTAAAAATTCCGAACGTGCATTTCCCGTTGTGTATGAGAAGGGAAATCCCGTCTCGATCTCGTCTCGAAATTTTATGAGAAATAAAAAATCTCGTCTCGTCTCGAACTAAAAATCCAATCTCGTCCATCCCTAGTAAAAACTAATCCTGACGGCTCAGTTGACAGGTTTAAAGCAAGGTTGGTGGTTAGAGGTTTCTCGCAGAAGAAAGGAGTGGACTTCAACCAGACTTTCAGCCCAGTAGCAAGACTCAGCACAATCAGATCCCTACTGAGTGTAGCAGCAGTGGAACATTTGATTTTGACACAATTCGATGTATCAACCGCATTCTTATACGGCCAAGTCGATGAAGTTATTTACATGACGTAGCCTGAAGGATACAAGGATGGTACAGATTGTGTGTAGGCTGAACAAGAGTCTCTACGGTTTGAAACAGGCACCTCGCTGTTGGAGTACCAGATTCAACAAATTCATGGAACTTCAAGGATTCAAGAAAAGTGATGCTGATCCGTGTCTGTTCATGAAAGAAGATGGAAAAAGTAAACTGATTGTAGCGCTGTACGTAGATGACGGGCTTATAGCAACAAACAACACAGGAATGCTTCAGAACTTCATGGATCATCTGACGAAGGAGTTCAAAATCACGTCCAAACCAGCATCTTTCTATTTAGGCCTAGAAATAGAACAGAAAAGTAACGGAAATGTTAGAATATCGCAGAGAGCGTATACAAAGAAAATTCTTGAACGTTTTCAGATGAGTGACTGTAAACCAGCTCCAACACCGATCGTGAAAGAGAACGAAACGCAACCAGCAGGGAAAGCAGAGAGCTCAAGAGACAAGTTTTCATACAGAGAAGCTGTAGGTGCTCTGATGTACCTGATGACAGCAACTAGGCCAGACATAGCCTATGCTGTGAGTAAAGCATCGCGTACTCTTGAAAACCCGTCTCACGAACACTTCATAAGGGTGAAGAGGATACTGCGATACCTGAAAGGAACGATCGACTACGGAATAGAATACCAGTCCAAAGAAAACAACCATGTTTTAGAGTGCTTCAGCGATGCTGACCATGCTGGAGACTCATCGACCGGACATTCTACAACAGGAGTAGTCTGCAGTTTTGGAGGAGGAGTAATCGCCTGGCTAAGTCAGAAACAATCGAGTGTGGCAATCTCAAGCACTGAAGCCGAAATTGTTGCGGCCAGTGAAGCCTGTCGTGAAATCGTTTGGCTGAAAAGACTTTTGGAAGAGATAACTTCACTGAAGAGTGTGCCAGTTCTCAACATCGACAACGAAGCAACTACTCGGTTAGCTGAAAACCCAGAAAACCACAGAAGAACAAAGCATATCAAAATTAGACATTTCTTCATCAGGGAGCTTGTAGCGGAAGGACAAGTCAAGGTTAACCATGTACCAGCTGAGTTCCAACTGGCAGATTGTATGACCAAACCTCTTCACAAGCCAAGACTTAAGACTTTGTGGCAAGCTATGGGACTTAACTAGTGACTTTAAAAATTCTTTAAATGGGGGAAAGTGTTAAGATATGTGATTAACTTATCTATCATTTAAAGAATTTTCCTCTAGGCCTATGTTTTTTCTTTCTTTCTCTCAGCTGTGTTATTATTAATTATGCAGTTTTGTATAATATGAGTTTGTAGATAAAAACATAACAAAAATGTCTAAACCCAATTATTCTTTCATCTTTAATTTCAACAGGAATAAGGCTGGACGACAGGCTCAACTGGAACAGCCATTTGGCATATGTAACGCAACGCTCTCAGACCACACTTATGGGACAGGAATATATAATATGGAGTCAGACCCAAGGCGCAGTTTTGCGTAAGCCTGGGGAATCTGGCGTCTGTATTCCAGGCAGAAGTTTTTGCCCTGTCCCAGTATGCAAGAGTGTGTTTGGAGCGTGGTCTGATATACATGAACTCGGGCAGCAAAGCAGCACTAATGGCACTTGACAGTTTTGACTTTACCTCTAAGGCAGTATGGGACTGTCATCAGGCCATGAAAGTCCTGGGAGAGAACAACAAGCTTATCCTTAGCTGGGTTCCAAGACACAAATGTATTGCTGGCGATGAGGGAGCTGACAAGTGGGAAAACAAAGGCTTATGGGTCCAGAGCCGACGTGTGGTATTGCTTACAACACAGTACGGATGGGCCAGTGGATGGGCATAGAACATCAAAGGAGCTGGGAAAGAACAGAAGGCAACATACAGTCAAAGAGAATGCTGCAGACACCTACCGGTGCGATAGCGGCAGATGCCCTTGGGCTGAATAGGGAGACCCTGTGGAAGGTGGTTGGCTTCATCAGCGGCCATTGGGTATTCCGCTATAAACAAGCGCTACCTATACAGTTTTTAGGAATTTTTCAGTGCTTAAGGTTATTTACATAAATATTGGTTATATATATAATATATATATATATCTATCTCTAATATATAAAATTCTCGTGTCACAGTGTTTGTCTGCAAACTCCTCCGGAACGACTTCACCGATCGTTATGAAATTTGGTGTGTAAATTCTGTAGGTATGCGAATCGGACGTAAACTATTTCCCGTTTCGAAATTCTTAAAAGGGCTCCGCCCCAGTGGCTCTGGAGTTTCCCATGTTAACCTTATGAGAAATGGAATTAATGAATCTTAACAGCTGTTTCAATTAAACAAGTTGGTTCTGTTCTATGATGTTCAATAGCATTAAAGTTACAAGGATTACCAACAGGGTGCAGCACTATTATTTCTTTTACATTTATGACAACAGCTAATTTGCAACCAAATGGTGAGTGAGCGTAGCGAACGAACTTCAACCTGGAGGCGAGTGAGCGTAGCGAACGAGCTAACCTGAAGGCAAGTGAGCGCAGCGAACGAGCTCCAACCTAAAGGTGAGTGAGCGTAGCGAACGAGCTCCAACCCAAAGGTGAGTGAGCGTAGCGAACGAACTTCAACCAGGACGTGATTGAGCGATGCGAACGAGATCATCTTGAAAATTAAACGTAACGGTACTTTCTTTCCATCGGTCTGTCTTAGGGGAAACCTATAACTTAGGCGATACGAAGTTCGCCGGGTCAGCTAGTATATATATATATATATGTATCAGTTGTATATCTGTGAATAAAATATCTTTGAATTAAATTGAATTGAATAGGCTACTAAATCTAAACCTACCTTGTTGGTGTCCAGTGAGTTGTTGTGGGATAAAAGGCAATCATCGGTATTGAGGCCAAAATGAGAGCAACAGGAGACCATCTGTTGGTGATGAGGATAAAATCTACTGTATCAACAATTGGCACCACAGGCACCATCAGTGCTATGGCTAGCACCAGGCCAACCACCACATCCTGCATAAACAATCATTGTTAGTAGGCCATAACATAAGCTACCACAGAGGAGGGGCAGAGAGACATGAACTTCCCTAGGGTCAAAAACTGGGAATAAAAATAGTACCTAACTAGGCTAAAGACTACTTAACAAGAACCCCCATAAATAAGTTCTGCTGGAATCATCACCATTTTGAAAGTTGTCAAAAGATGACCTTAGCGGCTTGGACCTTTTGTAAGTAAACAGTGAGTGACTATAGAACTTATGGCTTTTATCAATAATGTTGACAGATAGCTTAATATTTAAGTTTTGTACTGTTGAAAATGTGTTCCTTTCACTTTTACTCTAGTTCAATTTTGTGTGTTCTTTTGATTAAAAACAAATTAATATTGGTCTAAAAACTTATATATTATACTATATATATATATATCTAATATATAAAATTCTCGTGTCACAGTGTTTGTCTGCAAACTCCTCCGGAACGACTTCACCGATCGTTATGAAATTTGGTGTGTAAATTCTGTAGGTATGCGAATCGGACGTAAACTATTTCCCGTTTCGAAATTCTTAAAAGGGCTCCGCCCCAGTGGCTCTGGAGTTTCCCATGTTAACCTTATGAGAAATGGAATTAATGAATCTTAACAGCTGTTTCAATTAAACAAGTTGGTTCTGTTCTATGATGTTCAATAGCATTAAAGTTACAAGGATTACCAACAGGGTGCAGCACTATTATTTCTTTTACATTTATGACAACAGCTAATTTGCAACCAAAAGGTGAGTGAGCGTAGCGAACGAACTTCAACCTGGAGGCGAGTTAGCGTAGCGAACGAGCTAACCTGAAGGCAAGCGAGCGCAGCGAACGAGCTCCAACCTAAAGGTGAGTGAGCGTAGCGAACGAGCTCCAACCCAAAGGTGAGTGAGCGTAGCGAACGAACTTCAACCAGGACGTGATTGAGCGATGCGAACGAAATCATCTTGAAAATTAAACGTAACGGTACTTTCTTTCCATCGGTCTGTCTTAGGGGAAACCTATAACTTAGGCGATACGAAGTTCGCTGGGTCAGCTAGTATGTATATATATTTATTGTAAATACAAATAAGAAGGGCTATATTGCAAGTTTTGAGCCCAAAAATTTGCTTTTTGTGTTTTGTATAGACATCATTTGCAGGGAAGGGACCCTTCTGTGACTACCAAATCAGGATAATGGACTGCCCTGCCCTGGGAAAACTTATTTACTAGCAATCTTGGTTGGTTAGTGTTTCAAAATGTAAAATATGGCATAATTTTGTTGATGGGAAAAGAATAAGCCAGCAGTATACAGCAAAAGAAGATAATCTTATTGAATTGATAACGAAATTGTTAGTTCTGGGTGTAGCACATTGAAACTTTTTAACATTGACAAACCTAGATAGAGTAGAAAGAGCCTGGATTGGAACCAAAGACTGATGGTTTGAGATCGGCAATAGTGGTGTGGACTGTAGTGTATGGGTTTGCCTGCCATCTACTTTGTATGCCTGCGTTCCACTACCCTAGCATATACTAAATGATTAGACGTTAAAAAAAGTCATTGTACAAATGACTTCCTCAAAAACAAAATCAAATCAGCACCTTATCAACTTAAGTTAGTGACTAAGGCCGACATATTCCTTAGACACAGCTGTTAATTAATAGCCCAAACAGCTAATGGCAACTAAGGGACCTACAGGTTGTAGTGGAATCCGAACCACATTTTTGCCTTTGGTATATACGAATTGGTCTAATTATCAGGATAGTACTGCGGATACTCGTAGTACTCACTCGTGCGGACGTTAATCCACACTAGGGAGTATCGCATCCATAGTGCATGCCTATAAATATCCACAATTCGTGACCTCCTAGTAGTTGGATTACAGGACGACACCACCCGTCCCAGTCAAATACATTTATGCACCATATGTGCTATCATTAAGCCCTCATAGACTTTCTTATGGATCATGTTCATGGAAGTAAATGACTAAAATATGGTAGATTAATTTTCCTTGAGTGCCGTTTCCTACCAGTGGTAATACTTACAAGTACGGAATGCATGCCCAGGTATATCCTACTCAGAGATATGACAGCACACCAACACACAGCCATGGCAACTCCCAAAGCTACAGGGTACTGAAACACAATATAATGGATTACACAAGGTAATAAGTCAAATTAGAAAATTTTACATTTTTAATCAGTAAAATGATGCATAATTTTGCTCATATCCAGCAAAATGCACAGTTAAAATTAGATTGAAAGCCTAGAGACACAAAACATGTATAAGATTAAATTAAAAGTTAAAAAGGAGATTTGTTTTTAGTTTTTAACTATAAGTATTTTCAAAAACTTAAACTTACATTAGGGCATTTGATACACTGAACCATAGACATAGACATAGACATAGACTTTATTTGCACAAAACATTCCATACATGTCATAACATTTAGAATAGGTGCATTGTCAAAATTAAATCCATACATAAAATATTTAACATTAAAACTTTTAACTTAAAATTAAACACTTAAAAAAAAAAATCTAAATTGTAGTTCTGTAAAGATCTTCAATTAAGTAAAAAGCCTTGTCAATAAGAAAATTATCTATTGTATCTTTAAATTTGGTTTTGCTTAATGACTTATAGCATGGCGGAAGCACATTGTACAATCTCAGCCCAGCGTACAATGGAGATTTTTCATATAGGGTCAAACGGTGTCTGGGGAGTCTAAATATATTTTCATTTCGGGTTTCATACCTGTGATTAAAATGTATTGTTTCTGGTAGCTCATTTTTAACTGAATGTATGTAATTTAAAATTTTTAGAATATACAACCCCGTTAATGTATGAATTCTTAAATTTTGAAAATGTTTCTTACAAGAACTGCGTGGATGAGAGTTGGTAATAATACGAATAATACGTTTTTGAAACCTGAATAAAGTTTTAATACCAGTAGCTTGACCCCATAAAATTATGCCATATCTTAACACTGACTCCACATAAGCATGATAATAGTAGTTTACGCAACGATTGCGTTAAGTGAGTCTTTACGACACGAGTAGAAAATTTAAGGCACGAGCCTTGGCGAGTGCCTTAAAAACTTCTACGAGTGTCGTAAAGACTATTAACGCGAGTTGCGTACACTACTTTACCTACGACCGTTTTTTAATTACTATCAATCTGGATTTAATTACTAACAATAACTACTGATAACTTTTTAGAGAGGTTATGTTTTTGTGTATTGTCATTGCCACTGAACGTGATGCAACGACTTGTTGTATAATCAGCTGATTTCATGTAATTACGTGTTTGTTAAACTTCGTTAAATATTACATTGCTAGCAGCATTCTTACCATAAATAATATTGTATCAGGTACAATTCGGCAAATACTTAATTTATTTTTGGACTTCCACCAACTTAATTAAGAATACGCGAGTATCAACATGAACAAGTCGGATCAACAATTAAATTGGTCAACTGATCAGCTGATTAGTTGACGTTCCAAGCATTACAATTTTAATTCTTTTCTCTCAATACTTGAACCTCATTGGTCCGTTACCTGTGTGGATATCAGAAAACTATGCGGATATGAAATGAAACTATGCGGATATGAAAGTAAACAGCTGTAAAGTGAAACTTTTCAATTCTAAGAACTGGACTGAAATGGCTACTTTAAAAAACGGTCGTAGGTAAACTACTTTAAGTGTCTCAATAGAAACACAGTCCCTTAAATGTATGAATAAAGATGATATTGACCTAATTTTGTTACGTAAATAATTCAAATGTGAATCCCATTTAACTGCGTCATCTACGTAAACCCCTAAGAATTTATGAGCTTCAACTAAATTAAAGGAACAGTTTTCCATATTTTTGGGTCTAGTAGAAAATTTAATAATATTTGTTTTTTCAACATTAAGTTTTAACCCATTTTCTAAAAACCATTGCTCCATGTCCTTTACCACACTTTGCAGAGAAGAAAACATTTCAGCTGTATTATTATTTTTGATCAAAGCAGTAGTGTCATCGGCAAAAAGAATTAGTTCTTTATTAATAGCTTTTGGAAGATCATTAATGTAAATAAGAAAAAAAAATGGGCCCAATACTGAGCCTTGGGGAACACCTGTGGATATAATTTCCCATGGTGAATAATGTTTGTTGTTATCTTATAAAATTAAAGTTCTTTGTTTTCTTTCAGAAATGTAAGATTGTATTAAAGAAAAGCAACTTCCCCCAATCCCATAATCAATAAGTTTTAGCAACAGGAGTGAGTGATCCACACAATCAAAAGCCTTAGACAGGTCACAGAAAACACCTGCTGTGGCCTGAGACCTGTCCAAGACCTCTGCAATCTCATTAACAAACTGAGTAAGAGCAGAAACTGTGCTTAAGTTTTTTCGGAAACCAAATTGTTTATTGTAAAATAAATTATTACTTTCAAAATAATTAACTAGTCTATAGCTTATTACTTTTTCAAATATTTTAGAAAAATTACTTAATACTGATACTGGACGGTAGTTATTAATATCTGATTTTGAACCTTTCTTAAAAACGGGAGAAATTTGGGAGTACTTGAGTTGATCCGGAAAAATACCATTCTCTAAACACTGATTTATAATAAGAGATAAGGGTTCGGAGATAATGTCAGCAGCAGATTTGATCAATTTAATTGGGATTTCGTCCCAGCCTACTGAAATTTTGTTCTTTAGAGAAAGGATGATCTTTTTTATTTCATCTTTATTAGTGGGGCTAAGATTGCACAATGTAACCCCACCATCACTGCAGTATGATTTTACAGACGAATGAACACCATTGACAGAAGCCTTTTTTACATTCAGATTAATAACTGTATTACAGAAAAAACTGTTAAAAAGCTTAGCTACATCATCAGGATTATCAACAGTGGTTTGGTTTGTATCATCTTTTAAAATAATTTTGTATCTTTGAGTACGGTTTAATCCCAGTTCATTGTTAACAATTTGCCAAGCTGCCTTAGACTTGTTTTCAGATTTTATAATTAGGTTATTATTTGAGAGAATTTTTGAATTTTTTACAACTTTATTAAATATTTTTTTGTATTGCTTTACATAGGATAAAAACTCTTGGTTTCTACTAAACTTGGCTTCCAAGTGCAATTCTCGTTTTCTCTTACTGGAAATTCTTATACCTTGGGTCACCCAATTCAGAGTAGATTTATTAGTTTTAGCATTCTTTTTTAGTGATTTAACAGGAAATATATGATTGAAAGATAATAAAAAATTTCTCAAAAAACTATTGTAATTTTCATTGGGGTTTAAAGCGGGGTTAAATACAAAATTATTATTAGTGCTCTGTAGATATTTGCAAAATTTATCTGTATTTCTATCAGAGATGATTCTTTTCTTAAATGAACTAGAAGTATTGTTGATGGTTTTACACTTGGCTAGCTTAGGGAGGTTTATAAATATAGCATTGTGATCAGAAAGACCTAACTCATTGTTTAACCTGTAATGGCAACTAAACGTTTTGGGTGTGATAAAATTATCCAAACAAGTAAATGAAGTATTTGTTATTCTAGTTGGCTCCTCAAATTGAAAACAAAAACCATTACATTCGACAATTTCTTTAAATCTACTTGTGAATGTGTCATTCGTTAAAATGTCTATGTTAAAATCTCCAGTTACAAAAACAGTATTTTTTTTAATTTTTTCTGTATTATCAAAAAGAGAATTTCAAGTCTATCTAAAAACTGTTTACTTATGTTGAAATTTGGTACTGTATAAATAGATCCGAATTTCCAAAACAAACCTGGTAGTTTGTCAAAAAACCTTTGAACTTTAAGTTATATAATGATCACGATTTTCATTACAGTGAGTAATGTCATTTTTGAATCATAACATACTCAAAATACTCTTTCTTGACTAAAATTGAATTATAATAGTAGATACATGTAAATATTTACACTTGGTAAAATCAATGTCTCAACAAAAACAGATTTGTAATTATCTAGGGATAATTTATTACCCATCCACCTTTATAAATAGCAACAGTTATTAGCCTCTAGCCTGAAAGTAGCTTAACTTGTTCGCTGCGAGCCACTCACCGGTGAGTGCTCTAGTTCCTTCCTGCCACTTTGAACGCTCGCCGGTGAGTGCCGGTATCGCCTACATTCCATTTAATTTCTCCGCAACAGCACACCGGAAAGAACAGGTACTGTATTTTTATGTCTGCGTTTAGCTTGGAATGGGTGCTGCTTTATTGTTGTGTAGGTTGGTAGAGTATTTCCTTGTAAAATCCCCTTCTGTCAAGCTTAAAAATCAACTTGTTACGCCTTTCTCCCTCAAACGGGCAATATAATGGGACTGGATAGTTCCAGAGAGTGCTGTTATCTGTGAGTGTTTCAGCAAACTAAGTTGACTCTCGTCGTAACGCAGACTTCACCGCGTATCATTTGCTATTCGTCAGACCAAAATATTTTAAAGCTAAACAGGTTCGCTTGACTCTGCGCCACACCGTGGCTACGCCTGCCATTGGTGGGCCGGAGCAAACGTGTTAAAAAGTCCAAAAATAAATCAGACACCTACAACATATCCAATAAAGAGTTATTATACAGACATTTTATTACACCACTGGTAGGTATAACACATACTCATGCACAATTTGGAATAGATATAGTTATTATCATAGTGTTGACAGGTTCACTAACAGACGTCACACTCCTCAATATTTATAGTCTACTGTGACCTGGTAGTGGAAGAGTTTCAAAAATTTGAAACTGGTAAATGCTTAAGAGCACACAATCTGACATTTATTTATTTCATTGCCCAATGGTTTACAAACCAACTAAAAAAAGTTATTAGCCCCGGTAGGCTAGGTAGGTGTGACATTAATACTATTAGTATTGTTCAAACCGTGGTACCTATCATTGGCCAGTTTCCAGCTGCTTCCAGGATAAGATTGCAATTAACTCAAGTAGGACTGACAATGAAACGAAAATAAACATGAATTGATATCTTTGAGCAAAACATCCAACCATACAGAAATTAATAATTCAATAAAATATGTTTAAAGATTAAGTTACCTGCATTTTGTCTGAATATTGGTTATTCTTTTTGTCCACATATTGCTTTTAAATTTTGTCTGGATATTGAATTTACAGAC